TCATTATTGGCTAACACCTACACTCCCAGAAGCCCTCCTCCAGACCGGGCTAATAAAAGAAAACAATCCAAGAAGTCAGAAGAAGTGAGTTGGTCTCTCTCCACGAGTGGAGACAGACTCGTTTTATTCTACAATAGAGCACAGCTTTTGTGAAACTGCTCCCTGCCTGAGGTTACTCCGTCGTACTGGTCTGGCTGGTGATATTTTTTCTAAGAAAGGAGTCAGAGAACTGGGATAAGAGTCTGGACTTGACACTTTGGTGTGTCTGATCATTCTTCAGTCAAGAGCATACCAAGAACAGCGGGCAGACTCCCACCCTGACGTCTTTGGTGCCGAAACCCGAGATTCCGACAGGACCATCTAATTGCAAGAAGATAAGCTCGGGGCTCCCACTGATTCTGCATAACGGTGAGTTGTATAATTATTTCATTATATATTACAATGTATTAAAAGTAGAAATAAAGTGCACGATAAATGTACTGCACTTGAATCATCCCGAATCCATGAAAAGAGATTCTGGAGATTACACAACAAGGGGAATGAACTTAACACCACTGAACTGTACTCTTTACGATGGTTAAGACTAATTTTTATGTGTATTTTACCACAATTTTAAAAAAACGACGTATGCTATATTGTCCTTTCATGTTACCGTGTAGGAATTTTGCAAAACTTCTTTCATTTATGTAACAAATACTGAGTACCTACTACGAGCTAGGCATGATTCCAGGAGCTGGGATAGAGCCACAAACAAGACCAGCAACTTCCTTCAGCTTTGGAACTTGCAATGCAGTGGGGGAAACAATATATTTATTAATATATTGTTATGTAGTGATGAATTCTATAAAGAAAACAAATTACAGTAATGCGATACTGAGCTAACTGCGCTACTTTAAATTGAATGTCAAAAGTTCATTTAATTTCTACAATTAGGCACACATGGCTAGAAAAACAGCTGTTGGGCTATCTGCCAACAAGGACGGCTAATGCTATGTTGAAGGGGCTTTGTTCAATTCGAGCTGTTTCAATGCTATTTAAAAATAGAGAAAGATCATAGTTTAACTTCTTTCATGGTTTAGTTTTTATTCTATAACCCACTGAGTTGGATTTACCCTGAAAGAATGTCAATAGTGTTCCGGGCCTTATTCTTTGGAGAGAGTAAAATACAAAGACCTGGTATAAGGACCATGAGACACTTTGTCACGGTAAACTGACCTAGCGGACCCTCTTGACCCGCCAAAATTTGTCATGTGATCTCCCAAGACGAAGTTGTTGCAGAAGGTTGCAACTTTGTGCTAGGTGGTACCTGAGGCCCAGCCTGAGCAGGGTAACCTGGTTATTAGAATTGTGCTTTCAGAATTGGTTGCTGGGCACCCGCTATTTATTTCAAAACCTGTGGCATAGTCAACTTGCATTACCACAGGGCCAGTCTTTAAAATAGAAAGCTATTTTAAAAGACCCGGGGATCAGTTTACACAGGCAGGTACTAACCCCAGCAATAATTCTTTCCTGCCGCGCCATGATTCATGCTTTGTTTCTCACTCAGCCGTAGGATGAACTCAGAAGCCCGTGCAACAAAGAGGTCAGCTCTGTAATCAGATGCTATACTTAGCACAACCACCTTTCTCTTATTGCCATAGAAAGTGACCCCCACAGGCCTACACATCTTTGTCATAAATACGTGGAAGAATCCCATATCTCATTGTCTCCTATGTTGAGGAAAAACAAGCATTCAAACAAACAAGCTTGCTTACTGAGATGCATGTAACAGTCTTTATTGGCCAGATAGTCATCTGCTGTGGTTCCCAATCCCCAGGCTGCCAACCTGTACCCATGTGTGGCCTGTTAGGGCTTGGGCTGCACAGCTCCGCCACCCACGTGCCCCCACCCATCTGTGGAAAAATTGTCTTCCAAGAAAGTTAGAAAGTTGGGGTGGGGGGGGCGTGCACAGCAGGAGGTGAGCAGCGGGCCAGTGAGGGAAGCTTCCTCTGTTACTTACAGCCACTCCCGCATCCCCTGAGCTCTGCCTCCCCTCTCCCGCCCCAGTCCATGGAAAATTGTCTTCCATGAAACTGGTCCGTGGTGCCAAAAAGTTGGGGACCGCCCATCTATAGGATGATCCTGTAGGTACTCTGTGGAAGAACACAGGGCAGAAAGACATGACATTGATCTATTGAGTGGCTGTAGAGGGCCAGGCACCAAGATGCATTTTAGGGACAGAACAGAACAAGATGAACATGGTCCTTGCCCTTAGAGAACGGATAGATGAGCTAGAAACTAGCTGACTGAAGTATAAGAAACTGGCGAGTGCTCGGATAGAAGGGGGGCTGTGGAAGGACGCAATAGGAAAAGCTATAATAACCTAATCTAGGGGATAAGGAAACCCAGAGAAAATGGCGTTTAAGCAAAGATCTCAAGGATACTTTGGAGTTGAGAAGTGTTAGGGCACTAGGAAAAGGAAAGGGGTGGATGCAAAGGTCTAGAAGCAAAAAGGAACACAATGCTTCAGGGAAAGGAAGGGAAAAAATCCAGTTATCCTGGATTATAGTGTGAGGAGGTGGAGGGAAGGGAGGGCAAGATAGTGCTGGAATGCTGGGCTGGGCTGGACTGTAAAGGGTTAATGCAGGCCAGCTGTGAGGGGGCGTGGCTCCCAGGAAGGCCAGGTGTGGGAGGCCAGTTAAGAGTTGGCTTAAGGAGAAAGATGAGAGCATGGTGTGGACTAGGGGAGCGGCAGTAGGGCAGTGCCAGGACGGGAGAGAGATTTTAGGAGGAGGAGCACAGAATTCCCTTCCTCCCCACAGGTAAATACTTGGGCTTCATTTTGGAAGAGGATTCAAATGATATAAAGTGTTTATGAAGCAGCATGGTGTTATGCTTTCCAATATGATTGAGAGAGCTGATGGCACATTGATGCCTGCTTTAGATGGCCAATCAACACACAGGACATAAGACAAGTTCAAAATAATGTATACTATCAGAGCAGCATCATTTGCAATAGCCAAAAGATAGAAGCAACGTGTTTCCATTGAACGATGACTAGATAAACAAAATGTGGTATACCCGGATAGTGGAATATCATTCAGCCTTTAAAAGGAAGGAAGCTCTGTCACATGCTACGACATAGATGACCCTGGAGGGACATGATGCTAAGTGAAACAAACCCATCACAAAAGGACAGATACTGCATGATTCCAGTTGGATGAGGTACCTAAAGTCAAATTCATAGAGACAAAACGTATAATAGAATGGTGGTTGCCAGGCTCTGGGGGAAAGGAAGAGAGGGGAGTTATTTTTTAACTGGTACAGAGTTTCAGTTTGGGAAGAAAGTTCTGGAGAAGGATAGAGGTGATGGTAGTACAATAATGTGACTGTGCTTAATATCAGTGAACTCTACACTAAAAAAATGATGATGGTAAACTTTATGTGTATGCTCTCACAATTTTTTAAACTTAAAAAAAATTTTTTTAAGTAGTGATGGCTATCCCTGGTATCGTATATTCAAACGAATGCTCAATTAACTTTGACAAATTGTTTTAATTTTAACCAATTATAAAGGTAATACATTTCCATTGTAAAGACAGAAAATACAGAAAAATATTGTAAAGGATAATTTTTAGAAAAGTCATAATTATGATATTCTCACACAAATGTAGAATGACAAGTGTGAAAGATGTTATTTAACTCATTATTTAATAAGGAAAGCAGTATGATGCCAGTTCAAAAGAAAATACGAAGAAGCTGTGTGGGTGGGCGGCCACCTGTAGTCCCAGTTACTGGTGTGGGGGTGGGAGGCTGAGCTTAGGATCCGTCTCCCTGAGCAGTTCGGGTCCAGCCTCGGCAACATGGTGAGACCCCCGTCTCAATTAAAAAAAAAAAAAGAACACAGGTATAGACAAATAGGAACGTTAAAATGACAAATCAATGCCAAACTGGTCAATCCACTGCTCAATAATCAATTACATTCCACCGAGACAAACTCATTTGCATTTCTATGAGCAAAAGTCATTTGCAATACTACAGATTTTCTATGATTTATAGAGTTGTAAAATAGCCCAAAGAGGATGGAAGGCCACAGGACCCTATAGAATTAGACAAAGCTGCCAAGTGTGCTAAACAGGACACCCAGTAACACCCCTCCCTTGCCTACCCTCCAGTCTTTCACAAGGCTGAAAAGGGGAAAGTAAATCCTCTTGGAACCCTTCAACCCAGAAATACACTTGCTTTGATTTTTCTGAGTCAAATTCAGTGCGCACTGAGGAGCCTTTATTAAACAAATTAAACAAGATTTGTTAAACGCAACGTCCCGGGACGGGCTCCTGGACCAGGTGGGCTCCTGCACGCCCACCCCGCGCATCTCCAGGGGCCGGGAGGGCTCGGGGCCGCCCACTCAGGTGCAAGTGGCTGCAAGTTACAGAGCAAAACTGGTGGCCATCGGGGACCTGCTGGGAGTGGAGGGAGAAGCTATATCCGCAGGGTCGGGAAAAGAACTTTTGGAAGATCCGCGCGGGGAAGCAAGGAAGCCGCGCAGCCACCTGCACGGGCGCGGCGCTGCGTGTGGCGCCGCCTCTTCCCTCCCCGCCCACGGCCGGCCAGGGAGCCAGGGGCGGGGCGACCTTTGCTCCGGCGGGGGCCGGGCTGCGGTGTCCCCGCGGCTGGGCGCCCCAGCTCGCCTGCCGCGCGAGAGGTGGCCCGGCCGCTTCCTAAGCGCACTTCGCGTCCCTTCCGTCCCTCCCACCGGCCGGGTTTGGCCGGCTCTGCGCGCCCGCGCCTGGGCCCGCGGTTTCGGTCAGACCCGCCCGCGGGCTGGTTTCGATTAGGGCCAGCGGGAGGGCGGAGCGGCAGGACGCAGGAGTGGGGACTGGGACGGTCCCGCGCAGGAGACAAAGAGCGGCGGGGAGCGAGCGGGGCGCACTTCGGGGCTCGGAGCCCGGGGCGCGCGGGGCGAGGGCGGCAGCGCCGGTGGAGAGGGGCGGGGACGCCGTCTGCGCGGCTGGTCCGGGATGCGGACGCCGGTGGTAATGACGCTCGGCATGGTGCTGGCGCCCTGCGGGCTGCTGCTCAACCTGACGAGCACGCTGGCGCCTGGCTGGCGGCTGCTGAAGGGCTTCCTGGACCAGCCGGTGGACGTGGTGCTGTACCAGGGTCTGTGGGACATGTGTCGCGAGCAGAGCAGCCGCGAGCGCGAGTGCGGCCAACCGGACGAGTGGGGCTACTTCGCGGCCCAGCCCGTGCTCGTGGCGCGGGGCCTCATGGTCACGTCGCTGGCCACCACGGCCCTGGGGCTGCTGCTGGCGACGCTGGGCGTGCGCTGCTGGCGGGACGAGCCCCACTGCGTGCTGGCCGGCTTCTCGGGCGTCGTGCTCTTCGCCGCCGGCCTCTTCAGCCTCATCCCGGTGTCCTGGTACAACCACTTCTTGCAGGACCGCACCGTCCTGCCCGCCCCTGCCAGCCCGGTCACGGTGCACGTCAGCTACAGCCTGGTGCTGGGCTACCTGGGCAGCTGCCTGCTGCTGCTGGGCGGCTTCTCCCTGGCGCTCAGCTTGGCGCCCTGGTGCGAGGAGCACTGTCGGCGTCGCCGCAAGGCGCCCCCGGCCGGCCCGCGCCGCAGCAGCATCAGCACCGTCCACGTGGACTGGCCGGAGCCCGCGCTCACGCCCGCCATCAAGTACTACAGCGGGGGCCAGCACCGGCCGCCGCCCGCGCAGCAAGGAACCGGGGTCAAGGCCAAAGTGGGCTTCCCCATGCCGCGGCCGCCGCCCAAGGCCTACGCCAACCCCGCGAACGTGCTGGATGGGGAGCGGGAGCAGCCGGCCGACTCCCACGGCGCCTCCTCGCGCAGCACCCAGCCCTACCAGAGCTCGCTGCCCTGCGACTCCGACCTGTAGACCGCGCCCCACAAGGCGCCCGCGTCGGGAGTGCTGAGTGACAAAGGACTCGCCCCGCTCGGAGTTGGAACCCCGGAGGCACCTTCCTGTGGCTAGTTTGGAGGGCGGTCTTCCTTTCCTGTGGCCAGACTAGACTCCTTGGACAATTCCTTCAGGTTGGAATCGGTTTTCTTCTTAATAGAGTTTAGTTTTTCTCTACAGGGGGATCGGGGTCCTCTTATGGAGTGACAAGCTTGTCATATTTCTCGCTGAAGAAGATAAAGGGGGCATTTGCATCGTGTGGACCAGAGAAAATAACAAGTTGAAATCAGCAAGTAGAGGCTCAAAAGCAGCTTAACACCTTGAAACAACAATATTCTAAGATACTGATGAATCTGGCATCGATATAATGATTATATTTTTTTTCTGCTGTTTTAACTCCGTGCCATGCAAACTCCAAGAGACCAATATATTTCTTGCTATGTTTGAATGAGGCTCTTAAAAGAAACTTAGAGCCATGCAAATACCAGCAGCTATAGTGGCTTTTATGGAATGAAATAACCTGATTAACTCATATCTACATTTCTTCATGCATAAATGGGCTTTATCTTTTTTCTCACTTATTTTGGTGTGAAAGTTGGCCCTCGAGGAGTTTCTATTGCAGAAGCCAGAAGGGACATAGAGGGCCTAACGCTATACTATTCCATTCTTCGGATACCTCATCATGGACACAGGACTATGGACTTAATGTTTTGTACAAAATGAAACCTATTAATCACATTAGGTTAAAGTACATATGTATATATCTTTTATTTATAAATAAAATTTTAAAACAACAGTTTCAATATACCCACAAAAGCTTTTTTGTCTTCAGTGCCACCTTTGGGAGTTTAAGCTTTCCTTACTAACAGTTTCCTGGCTGCCAGGCAGTGTCTGAAATCTAACACTCCTATCTTTGCACCTCTTAGCATAAGATTACTAAAAGAAGCCAACGGGCTCCACTTAAATCTCTGATTGCATTGTTTTCAGGTTCGTGCCGTTTTCTGTGCAAAGCCAAGTCTATTGTTGAAAAAACTAGAAGCACCAGTTTCCACTTGAGGTGAGACTGGAAGTCTTTTCCTTTTGTATTAATAGCAGTGGTGGCTTTAAATCACAGGAAGACAGCTATATAGATTCCATGGGGGAGACTGAATCTCCAGCAGGGCTGGTTTAATTGCAAGTGGTTGATCTAAGGGTGCCTTTAAATAAACGGAATCTCATCTTCAAAATCTGCCATTCAGAGGTGGGAACGTTCAGTTCAGTAAGCACTGGTCATAGTACAATGGAGCTAACTCAACAGCACGTGCTGCTGTTTAGCGGTAGAAGGGATGATCCCGATTCACTTCCCTTGCTGTTTTGTACTGGAATCACCTGTTTCTCTCTTTTTGAAGCCAAACTAAATGTGCAGGCTTTATCACGGGAATCTTTTTCAAATGCAGATTGTGATTGAGTAGATCTGGAGGGAGGCCCTGAAAATGATTTCCTAACTAGCTCCTGGGAGATGCCAATTCTGACGGTTCATGGACCACACTTGGAGTTGCAAAGCTTTAGCTGGGACTATGCCTCGCTCAAATTTCAATTCCCAACCGGTGGCTCATGTTCAGACTGTTGAGTGCCTGCCACCTAGATGATTTGGGGAACTTGCTCTAGGGAACGGAGCCAGAATGGAGGAAAGGCAACAGGGCTCTTTTTAGCTAACACCTTGGAAAGCAGCAATTAGGAGGCTGAGGGGTGAGCACCCAGCGAACAACGTGCAGATGCTGGCTGGGTTTCTGGCAACCACTGAATCTCGGCTGCATCATAATTCCAACTATTTCTTGGGAAGCCTTGGTTAACACAGAACTGGTGCTTTGTGTGTTTTACTTTTTTCCCCCAGTGATTCTCCACTGCCTTCTATGCAAAACCCTTCCTCTCTGTGGATTAAGATTCGGTTGCTGAGAGTTAAAACTCTATTTTTGCCCAATCAAGAGAAATAAAGCCAAAATTCCTCTTTAAAAATAAAAACTTCTCATTGATACACAAATATTCAGGATAGCATGGAAAGAGACTTTTCATCAGGCTGGGATCCGTTTTGGCCTGAAGGTCATTCCCTGTCACAGCAGCACAGGTTGATGTGCCTCAAGCCCCTCATACCTCAGATGCCATCAAAACTATTTTTTTTTTTTTTTCGAGACAGAGTCTCAACCTGTCGCCCAGGCTGAAGCTCAGTGTCATCGTCATGGCTCACTGCAGCCTCAAACTTCTGGGTTCAAGCGAGCCTCCCACCTCAGCCTCCCTAGTAGCCAGGGCTACAGTGACATGCCACCAGGCCCTGCTAATTTTTATTTTTTTGTAGAAATGGGGTCTCGCTGTGTTGCCCAAGCTGGTCTTGAACTCCCAGCCTCAAATGATCCTCCCACCTCAGCCTCCCCAAAGCACTGAGATTACAGGTGTAAGGCACAGTACCTAGTAAAAAAAAAACTCATTTTTTAATCCTCCCGTTCACCAAATGAAGTATGTGTCCCCATTAAATGGATGAAATCTTTTCAAGATTACTCCAAGGATGCCAAGAGGGACTGAGAGATCCATGAAAGTAGAGCAGAAACTGCTTTAACGCGCTCCTGCCCCACCCATTCACCAATCTGGCCCCCATCAAGATGCACGCCCCTGCTAAGGAGGGGTGTGGTTCTGAGCACACACTTGGTTATGCACTGCAGAGGCTGCTTTGGCAGCCACCCTCCCCTTCTGTGCATAGATCATTCATCCAGTAAGTTTTGGGGCACCTGACACTTTGCCAGCACGTTTGTGGGCAGCATTGAAAACACCACCATTGCAGGCCATGCTTTTGTGGAACTTAAATACTCTCGCATGATAGTGCTCAAATAAAATTTTTAAAAAATCTAGAATCAAGGGGAAAAGGTGATATTTTAGGAAAGGTGGTCAGGAAGGAGGTGATACTTGAGCAGAGAACTGAGAGAAGGGGAGTATTTTAGGCAGAGGGAACAGCAAACTCCAAGTTCCTGCTACCTGCATGTTTTGCTTCTGCTTCATTCTAGAACAGGGTGGTACAATTGAGAAAGGCTAAGTACATCTTGTCCCCTACGTTTTGTCAGGCTAATGGCTTCTTTAGGAGGGAACACAGTCTGGAACAAATCCAATCTGTTTTATAGAGTGTTTCCAGAATTAAAAATGAGCAATTTGATGAGTGAATAGTGGGTGGAGAACTTTCCATTCTGCCCATGGATAGACAACCCCACAATACAGGAGGCAGATGAGAAATTGGAAGCTCAGTGCCTTATCACGGCCCCAGGAGTGATGGGAAAGTTTCCCAACCAGGGTCTCTCCCCCCACACCCACCCCACATCTCCAATCTTCCTAAAATGAGGGTCTGTCATTCATCTCTTTAACCCCTCCAGGCTCTTCCTTACATATTTATCCACTCTTAAATTTCTTTCATGGTCTGGCCAAGGCCTGTGTTTGTACACTCATTAGTTTCTTCCGCACATGCGCATTCTAATGCATTCTAATCCTGTCCCCATCAGCTTAGAGGTGTCATATTTGAACACATCATTTACATCTGGCTTAGTTCTTGAGGTGCTTTGTTGTTTTACTTCTAAATTGAAGGTAAAGGCCTAGATGGTTTCTATTTATCTTGTAGTCCTGGGATGGACACTAACACTTCCTCAGTGCTTATTAACAATTTAGTAAAGTTACTTTCAAAAGCCTTTTCTGTACCCTAGGGCCTCCTTTGTGTATACACCACCTTTCACGCATATAGTGATGTGTAGCCTGAGGCCACTGTCCCAGAAACTCAAAGGAAACTCAAAGGCAGAGTCGCTACTAATGGGAGGAAAATAAGGAGGCAATCATTACTTCAAATAAAACCTTGTCTGAAATTCTCATCCAATCTCCTCAACAAGCTCCACCCACATTCCTCTATCTCCTCCCTACACACAATGCAATCACTCCCTCCAGTGGTTCTCCACTAAGCAGGAGCTAACGAACGAAAATAAGGCTTAATTTGTTCAAATCAAGGAAAATATAGACAAAGCTTAGTAGGGGGACAGTGCTGACTATGGGACTTGATTCTTCAGCGGGGACTTGTGGAGAAGCGTGACTCCATCTGACTCTCATCCAACTGGCCCGCCCAGGCCATGCAGAGACTCCGACTGGGGAGCCTGGGAGGGCAGGTGTGTGCGTTTCACAGGTACCGGGCACCTGTGCTATAACTTCATTGCCATGACATGCGACCTGTGTGCGCGCATGACAACTAACTACGCCCCCACATGGGATGACACATCTTTTTCTACTACCCCATAAAAACCCCAAGCCACTTTCCCTTGGGGAGATGCTGCTTTGGAGAACATTCCAGGTGTTCTCACTTTCTGCTGCAAATGATTAAACCCCTACAGATCAAGACCCGTGTCCTCTGTGGAGTAGTGATTACTTGCCAGGCAGACGAACCCCGATCTTTCGGGTAACAGCTCCCAAAGAGCTGCCTCTCCTTTCAGAGCTAAGGGAGGCTAAATGAAGTCACTGCAATTTTTCTAGAACTTAGGTGATATATGCCTCCCAATAATATAAACCCTGCCCTTGCTGGAATTCAGTTTCCTCATCCATAAAACTGGGAAGACTGAATTAGATAGTATAAAAGGGGCTCCCTAACTTTATTCTGAAGACGAAGGGTAAGAATTTGAGGAGGCTGAGAGGGGAGAATGAGATTTGAACAGTGGAGGCTGGGGCAGCTGACTCACCTGTTAAACTAGTAATTAGTCTGAGAGCAACAAACTCCGTATTCTAGTCATGAGTTTCTCTGACTTCCATCAACCTCTCAGAATTTAAGTAGGAACTTGGTACTTCCCTCCCACCATCCATGGCTCCTCGTCCATTTGTTTCCTAAAAACAATGAACATAAAATGTGTGAGCTAACTCTTAATTTCTAGCAATAGGCACAAAAGGTCAAATTTTGTGTAGGGCTCTTTGAACCTAAATCATGAACCAAT